AAGACACGCATTTACTTTCACTACAAACTCATCTTTTCAGCTGCTTTTCTGATACTCTATCCCAAAAAAAGAATTTTAAAAGTGAATTTTATGATGCAATTTTTAAAAGTTTGGTTTACATCTCAAATCGGATTTTTCTTTGTTGGGGGCAAGGGGAGGGAGAGTTGATGAAAAATTCTAGCTGCTTCTCTGAGCTAAGGCTAAAGTTTTTTTTTGTTTTGTTTCTTTATCACGTTTGGTAATTTAGGGATACACGTCACCGCCAAATAAGAGAATATATGCCAATTTTCCATTTTGGCTTTGCTTTTTTTCCTGCATAGTGAGTATGTTGACTTTTTTGGAAATTATACATTACAAATTCTAGGCTAAGAGTTTATCTGATCTCGAGTTTGGATGTGAAAGAGGATGATTTGATGTTTTTAAATTATGCTTTAATTTCTCTATTAATGAAAATAAATTACACTTGTGAAATTATGGATTTTAAACCTGACTTGATTTATATTGGCTTAAAGAAGTTTTAGTGTCTCCACTAAAATGAGATAGACTATAGATCAACTACTCAGCTTTACTATGTATTGTGAATGAGCTAAAAAATACACAAACAGTAAGAAATTACAAACATCTCTAACACAAATCTAAACACAAAATGCAGGAGCCATATTCCTGCTATATTTCTCTGTCTTCCTTCCTGAGTAGCTCACAGGACACAAATGTAGCAAAATCAATAAATGCTGAATTCATGACATCACCTAAATGTGCAGTATTCCTACCTTAATAGTCTTCTAACTGTACGATACCTGTAAGTAAGTAAATTTCTTTATAACGATCTCTGAAAGATGGCCTAAATTCTTTGGCTGTATTGAAATCTATCAAATATTGCTTTTAATAAACCACTGCCTTGAGTTTGGAAATCGTTTTCTACACAAAGTCTTTGTTGCATTTGTGGGGGAAGGGATGGCATTTTTTGTAACAGGATTTGACCTGTAACTATTATTAAGAATTTTCTTAGAGGAGTTCAAAGCATTTTACAGGGATCATCTCATTTATCCCTCGAAAGTAAGGCAGAGGCATTATCTCCACTACAGATTGAGAACACTAAAAGGCCAAGATAGGTGGGGCTTTTGTTGTTGTTTTGCTAAGATCAAAAAGTAATTCTAGGGCAAAGCCAGATTCCGGTCTGACCTTGTTACATGATGCTTCTCACATCACCATAATACAATGTAGTTGCTTCCCTAAGTCTCTCTTTGGCTATGCTAGGTGTTGAATAATTTTCAGGGTCTATTTTTATTCTTCCCTGCTCCCTGAAAATGGGTGTTAAGATGTAGGTAAGTACAAAAGAAAACTCCCCAATCCTTCCTATCTGGATTTGGAGTACAGGATAAACAGACAGAAACATGCATCTTCCTCCCCTCCAAGTTTTACTGCCTAGCCCAGTGCTAACAGAAAAATAACCTGAGACGCAAATGCAAGTCATATGTATAATTTAAAATTTTCCAGTAGTTACATTAAAATATATTGTATTTAGCCCAATACAGCATATCCAAAATATTAATGCTTCAACACGTAACCAATATAAAATTGTTAAAGATATTTTGCATTCTTTTTCTTGTATGGCTTCAAAATCTGGTGTGTATTTCTCACTTACAGCTCATTTCAATTTGTATTAGCCACATTTCAAATGCTCAGCAGCCACATGTGATGAGGGGACACTGCTGGACCCTTCAGATTAGTGCCATGTGAATTAAATGGGTGGTATGGAGAACGGATGCTGAGTCCTTGGAGAGTCAACTTGCACTTGGGTGGTGACTGATAAGAAGCCCTAGCTTTGCCATTTCCTGATACATGACGGTTTTTGAAGTTATGGGCTCAGGATCTAGAAGACTGCAAATCCCCAAATATGTCTAATCCCCAAGCTCACTCATGCCAGGACTATGCTTCCCGGCCTGTGTGAGAACCTAAGCTATGGAACCTGCCATCTTCTAGGGCTCCAGTGTCGTTGGACCCACATAGGTGGCCCGTGGAAAGGGGACATCACTCGAGGAAGAGGAGGGCTCCTAGATGGGGAAGGCCACCCAATTAGGGGCTTCTTGAGGGCAGGTGCTCCAGGTGGCCGCTTCCTGAGGGCAGGCCGTCCTCTGGTGGCCTTAGGCAGGGCCTCGAAAGGGGCACACGTGTTTGCAACACCAACTCCGGTGCTTCCACCAAGCGCTCCAGGGGATGCGGGTATAGTGTCAGCACCCCAGCCCCAGCCCGCTCCCTGAAGTGGATCCAAGGCCGCAGGTGTGAGGGGCGGGTCCAGGGCTCGGCCCGCGCCGCCCCATGTGACCCGGTCCGACATGGTGTCGCCTCCTCCCGGGGCAGCGGCGGTGGCGGCTCGGGTTGGGCTCCGCGTCGGGCCGGCCCCGCGGCCGCTCATGGGCAGCCAGGGCCGCTCGGGGCCCCCCGCGAACGGCGGGCCCGGTGAGGTCGAGGGCGGAGAGGCCAGGAAGCTGCAGGAAGGGAGGGTCACGAGGGGGAAGCGAAGGAAAGGGAAGGGGAAGGGAAAAGCGAGCGCAGGGCAAGGCGGAAGAGGAAGCGGGGCGGAAGGGAAGCCCGGGCCGCAGACGGTGAAGGAGGCAGCGGGGCCCGGGGCTGAGGCGGGAGCGAGGGCAGGCCCGAGGGAGGAAGCAGAGGGAGGCGGAAGCGTGGAGGACGGGGCGAGAGGCATCAAGGGAGATAAGGGGAGCGCAGGAACCGGGAAGGAGGCACAAGGAAAAGAGTATGGGAAGAAGGAGGAATGGAGGGTCAGGGCTAGGCGGCGGGAGGGCGCCAGGCCGGGAAGAGCACAGGGACGAGGGGGCCAGGCTTGGGCCGACATCGCGGGGACGGGGGCGGCCATGGCGGCGGCTGCCGGGGAGGAGGAGGAGGAAGCTGCTCGGGAGTCGGCCGCTCGCCCGGCCGCGGGCCCTGCGCTCTGGCGCCTGCCGGAGGAGCTGCTGCTGCTCATCTGCTCCTACCTGGACATGCGGGCCCTCGGCCGCCTGGCCCAGGTGTGCCGCTGGCTGCGGCGCTTCACCAGCTGCGACCTGCTCTGGCGCCGGATAGCTCGGGCCTCGCTCAACTCCGGCTTCACGCGGCTCGGCACCGACCTGTAAGCGTCCGCTCGCCCGCCTGCTCCCTGCCCCGGGCCGGCCCCGCATCCTGGGAAAGGGCGGGGCGCCGCGGCCTGGTGGGCCCAGGGACGTGTCGCACCCCGAGTTCCGAGGCCTGCACCTGGCCTCCGCCGACACCCTTTCCCGAGCACTCTCAGAGACCCCACTGCCCCTCCTCCCCAAGGCCTCCATCTGAGGCAGCTTTCCGAGAGCATCCCTCAGTGGGCACCCTCCCCGATGGGCCGTCCTCACAACTAGTCATCTTAGGCACTCTCTACAGCTTTCCATTGTGTCTTTTTGCAGAGGTTTAACTGCCCCGGCTCCTTAGCCTCAGAGGAGCCAGGTTGGTCTATGTGGTTTCTTCGTGCTTTGGACCGCTCCTCCAGTCCAGGTCTGGGACCCAGGTTCCTTAAGTGGTGTATCATCATATTTTTGTGGCCTTTGATTTTTCATCCTCCCTACCCTCTTCTAAAGGTTAAGCTTCAGGTATCGGACCCTAATGGAAGGCCCTCCGTCCGAGTGTTCAGCCATAGTTTATGACTCCACACGAAAAAGGGGGCCTGCTGAGGCAGGAGGCTGAAGTTGGTCTAGGCTGTGTGCAAGACATGGTATTGCAGTTTGGCCTGTTTTGGTAGGGTCTGAGACCTGTGAATGAAAAGCTTTCTTCAGCCACTTAAGCTGTTAAATAGGAGGGAAAAAACCTGTAGGGAATTGAGGGAGTGAGAGCTTTCAGATTGCCCCTATTCCACCCATTTTTTTTTTTTTTGAAAAAAGGTAGTTCTTTCTAGCACATTATGACAACATTAGAGAAAGTTTTTAAAAACATAAAAAGCTATAATACCATCACCTCTAGACAATTATTTTCATTTAAAAACTTTTCAGGTGTACACATAGTTGCTATCTTACTGATCCTAACAGAATAGATGCATAGTAAATGTTTGTGGGCTGTCCCATGAGATTGAACATCCCTCTACTATTAAGCTTACATGTTGTGTTCAGCTTTTTACTATTATTGATAATGAAGTAACGCATTTTTGAGTAACAGCTTTACTGAAATATAAGCTACATGTCATACCATACATATTTAAAAAAATTAGTTCCTTAGGATAAAGTCTCAAGGTGGCATTATAGCAGAGGTTATGATTTGCAGAGGTACTGTACCAAGTTAGAGGGGGACCAGTACAGAGTGAAAAAATTTTATGTGAGAATTTAGAAAATCTTTGCTACTTTAGTGGGCATTTAAGGTATCAAAGTTGTGTTATTTTGCATCTCTTTTACCACTGGCCAGGATAAATATTTTCCCAGGTGTTTGTTTTACCTGCGAGACTGTCTGTTCCCACTCTTTGCCCATTTATTACTGGGGTCTTTGTGTTTTTCTTATAAATTTGGAATCTTTGTGGGTCTTAGATGTTAGAATCTGGTCTGCCATCTTTGATCCAGTTTTCCCAGTCAATTGATTTTACTTTACTGTTTTACACTTTATTAGGCTCTGCCAGTCTTTTGTGATTTTTTTCCTGTTTTTCCCCCATAGCTGACAAATTTATAATTCCTCCACAGACCTGATAAATCTGTTTTCCACTGGTTTTTTTATAATTTTATTTATTTATTTTTGAGACAGAGTTTCACTCCTGTCTGGGCATAGGCTGGAGTGCAATGGCATGATTTCGGCTCACCACAACCTCTGCCTTACAGGTTCAAGCAATTCTCCTGCCTCAGCCTCCGGCATAACTGGGAGTATAGGCATGCACCACCACGCCCAGCTAATTTGGTATTTTTAGTTGAGATGGGGCTTCTCCGTGTTGGTCAGACTGATCTTGAACTCCTGACCTCAGGTGGTCCTCCCGTCTCAGCCTCCCAAAGTGCTGGAATTACAGGTGTGAGCCACCATGCCCGGCCTAATTTGGTTTTTTAATATTAACACTTGCATCAATATCACTTTTGGTGCAATAGGTGAATTCAACTTACTATTTTTGTTAGGTAGCCTCAATGACTACCTAGTTCTCATTACAACTTTGTTAAGTAATTCTCTTTTCCTTTGTTTTGGAGAGCTTATTTTGCTATATAATGTTTATATATACGTATATACACATATAAATATGTGTTTATATTGGATCTATATCTGAACTTCATTTTGTGTCACTGATACATTTTTCCATTTCCATACTATTTTAAATATTGTTACTTTTTGGTAGAGTCTAGTATCTGTCAGGGTAAGATTATCCTGTTGGATTTATGTGTGTGTGTCACCTCTACACTTCTGTTCAACTCTCCATCAAAAAAAAAATTCTGTGCTTTTCCAGGAACTTCTGTGGTTTTCATGATAAAGTTCTCACATATATGTTGTTGCACTTACTCCTATGTATTTCTAAATATGTTATGCATTTCGTTTTTATTGCAAATGTACTCTCTTTGGCATGTTTTCTGGCTGGGTATTATTGAATGTAGAAAACGAGTATAAGTAAATTTTGGATTTGTGGTTTTAAATTTTATTCTAGGATGATTTTGTTCATGGTAATGATTCTTTGGGACTTCTTGGGCATGCAGTCTTGTCACCTGCAGAAATAGTTTGTTATTCTCTTTCAAAGAATATTAGCAGCTGACCTATAAGAGAAGTTGTCTAAAATGACTGGAACTCAAGCCAGCCAAGGCAAAGTTTGGCTTGCTTTCTCTTCATATAGAGATTGAGTGAATAAATGAAAGAAGTTGTGTTTATTTTCAAATGCTCTAAAAGAGAGATATTGGGAATGCGTCTACATTCTGTAGCAGTAATAACAAAAAAATGAAAATGAATTTATGAATTTATGGTGTAAAATGCTTTGAGATTGCCATATGATATTGCTTTATTATTTGACCGTGGTAACATGTGTGTTTTGATTTCTCGCCCGTGTCCTAGGGTAAGGTGTCCTGGCCTTCTAGGGAAGTTGTTTTACCATAGCCCTTGATAAAGAGCAGGGTCACTGCTCGGGTTTTCTGGGTTGAGGGAAGAAGTTATGTGTGTTACAGCAGGTGGAGAGAATGTTTACCAGTGTGGTCTGTTCCTGGACAGCTGCGGAGACTTAATAAGCCACTGAGAGAGGTGGTTGTCATCCCTGGAGGGAGAAGGCATGTACCCCACTTCACTTAGGGAGTCAGCAAACCTGATTCCAAAGTACAGCAAAAGTATGACTGGATGGTGGCAGAGCTGTTGTTCATGCTTTGGGCTAATTAACTGCAGACTAGATAAGTGAGATGAGTTTTTATCAGCATTACACAAAACTTGATTTTATCAGAAGCCACATAACCTCACTGGGCCTAGGTTTTATTATCTATAAAGAATGGGAATAAACTTGCCTGGTAAAATTAGGCTTAAATGTAGAATGCTGGCTAGGACAGCATTCAGCACATAGTAAGCACTCAATAAATTGTAAAATGGGACTTTTTAATTGCTTGGCTTCTCGTCTAGTTTGTATATAGCATAAGTGGGGCTGGTTTGACTCAGAGGTGCTGCCTAAAGACAAAGGGGAAAACACGCGCGCACATACACACACCCTGCTTGGTTTCTTTCACCTGTCCTGAATGTTTTTGGAAACATGACAGCAGAACCTGTGGACTTAGGGCCTGTACTCTGGGCTGAAGAGCCTCTTGATTCTCAGAAACACAAACTGCTAAGGTTTACTGACCTTCCGGCCCAGGGCACGTCTTATTCAGTTTGGCTGTTCCTAACTGATCATAGCTTTGTTGAGTAAGATGAACTGCTTTGGTTCCTTGTGATTTGCTAATGGTGTTATACTTGTGCTTGAAGGCATTCTGGACACTTTAAAACCACAAACAAATAATTTGCTTCCCATTAGGCCTCTTGCCTGAACAGTGAACACTTGCAAGTATCCTAAGCTTTTATTTTATTTTTTGAGGGACACAAAGATAGTTGAGTCAGTCATCTGATTTACAATCAGTTTTGTTTGGAGATTTTGTGAAGCCTAGGGGAGTAGAAATATCCTGAATATAACAATAAAATTCAAAGAAATGTTTCATACGGCAATCTTTCAAATTTTCCCTAAAGAGTTAGAGGACAAACTAACCTATTTCAGTTTACAAGAACAAAACAGTGGAATTCAGCTCTCAGTTGATAACGTAGGTTGAATGCAAGAAGTACACAGTATGATGGGGGGAGAACAGGAGTGCTCTCTGCAAATTCTGTTACTGAAAATTAACAAACGCAAATAATAGAAAAAATATTTCTATGCAATGTAAAGCTATTTTTAAAAGATACTATTGCCAGTCTTATGTTAAAGAAAGCTTACTTAATCCTCTTCCTCCTGAATTAAGTGCTACATATTCTCAAACAGGAATTTTATTTGAAATAGCCTTTGAGCAGTTCCTGGGTGCTCTCTTGCATTTGCCTATGATAGATTTGCCTGGAATTAACAATAGGTGTTTAGGGAGTGAGGCTCCTGAGGTGTTTGTCCTGGCATGTATATTCATTCCTGTGGAGGGGTCCTATAGCCTTGGAGCTCTTTGAGGCTGGGGGCCTGGGGTATCTATTTCAGTGATGATTAACGTCCAGAGTGGTGAGATAGACACAGATAAGCAGAGTGTGTTTATTTGTTTTAAAATGATTGTGCTTAAGAGCATTTTCTTGGCCCAGAAAGCATATAGTTTGCTAGCTCTGAATGGAGATGGTATTGCTAACTGGTTACCTTTAAGGCCTAAACTGTGATCTTCAGAAAACAATTAACAACTCAAAGTAGCTTAGGTTTTCTCCAGTTTTCTGCCTTACCCAGGGAGGAGAGTCACCTATTTGTTCTCTAGTTCACTGAATGGTTTCGTATATGGATGTATTTATTGTCTTTAGCATTTGGAAAGGTCTTATTTTTAATGGTTTCTATGAGTTAATAAAATACAGTTTAGTTTACAGGTTCAAAATAAAATAGTACACCTGTGGAAGCAGGGCATGCTCTAGTGCAATCACTACCTCCAAATGCGAACTGGAAGAATGGAAGAGGCCTCCTCTAAGACCATGAGAATATAGAAGCTGTTTATGCCCTTTCCAGGGCCTGAATTTTCTAGCTTTCAAGGCAGAAACATGGAGAAACCCAGTGTCTTCACAGTCTGTGAGATGAGCAATCTGTAGTATGAATTCATACTGGAATGAGAGCTCTGAAAATACTTCAGTACTCTATACTTTTCAGTTTTTTGCACCTGGAACCTTCATCTAAGGTGAAGATTGTGCTTGAGCTGCTGAAATCCCCAACTGACAGTGAGGTCACTGAGGAAGTATACAGGTTTTTTAAAAAATTATTTTTGAATGTGTGACTTAGAAAAGAATTGTTTGTGACAACTTAACCTTAGCTCTGGGTTGACCCTGGCACTGGATTAATTTTTGGTCCTGACATGTAATCATGGAACAGGGAGAAATTTAGACAGATTCTTCTTGAGACCAGGCTCCAAAAATATTTGAAAATTAAGATGAGTTCAACTGTTTAAAAAAAAGGAGAAAATTGGGTTTTGAATTTTCAGTGAAAATTGGCAGACTTCCCACTTTGATCTGCAGAAGCTGACTTTTGCTAAGCTTCAGAATTTACCTCAGGTGTGTCAGCTGAGTCACGGTTAAGAATCCAGAGATTTGGTTTACTCTTGAGGAGAGTCCTTCCTAGTCAGCAGTCTTGCTCAGATGGAACTCCAATTGTAATCAGTTGAATCAAGATGGTTATGGTAATTAAGAATATATTTATATACCTTGAATCATGTAAATACGTGAGCTTTCTCTAAAACTGAGTATGAGACTATGTGGAGAAAGAATTTACCTCTTGTTAGCGGTTTGGTTGCCTTGTCTCAATTTTGAGTCAGTTCTTCATTTTATCCAAACTGTCCACATTGCTCTCCCTGGAAGTCTGGGCCACCCAATGGGCCCCTGTGCCTGCTGCCCCTCTTTAGCCCACAATTAATTGCCAGCACATTCTTTCTTCTTCCTCTTCTTTTTTGGTATTTGACATGAGCTCAAATTGCTGAGAAAGGTGACAACTGTGAAATGAAGACAGGGCTTGGAGACACCTTAAAAAATACATGCAAAGGCCACTAAATGACAAGAGCAGACTGCCAGCCTCTTTCAAAACATCACCACGTCTGTTGACTTTCCATTCCTTGTCCACAGCACAAAATTGGAGGTCAAAGAATCATAGGAGTTAGAGATGGAAAAGACATTTGGGGTCAGCCAGTTCATCCCTCCGCCTTCTCCTGCCCCGATTCCAAATCATTCCTTGCATTATATTTTCTCCCCCAGCTCTTGTACAGTTTTCACGGTCTTCACTCAACCCTGGCTGTCACCTTTGGGGAATGATGCTGGAGGTTCTCTCCAGTTTCTCCTCGGCAGAGAGAGACATTGCCTGTGCCCCCAGTTGACATTCGTGAACTTCTTTGTTGGTGGTCTCAGCTGAGAGGCTGAAGGATAACTGGAAGTGTCTCTGTTGCCTGGTGATGGGGCTTTTTTAGACAGAATTGAAGAGCATTTAGTGTATGATGATATTGGGCAAGGGATATTGGGCAAAGGGCTGGAGTGTAGGGTAGCCATTGATGAATTTGTTTCTTGACATTTGTTGTGCGAGTCTCTTGACCTGGAGGAGGATTCGTATTTGTATGAAGTGTGTGGTATTGGGACAGGTGGGCAGAGATAGGAAATTATAGTGAATAGGAGTTTGATAGGAACCCTAACTTGGAGATTGGTAGATTAAACAAATAAGAAATACTGGTCTTGTGAGGTAGTAGAGGATTATTTTTAATAGCTACATGTTAGGGGAGAAATAGAGCGGTGGTTACTGTACAGAAGCTTCAGTTTAGAGTCATATTGAGGAGAATAGATGGGCTGGAAGCAAGTATTTTGAATTAGGGTACGCTGCTGTTTTTGTGATCTCCCCTTTTAGAAAGTAGAGAAAGGGAAGTCTTATGCTTACTGGCTGTGTGGGTTGGAAGGCGGAATGGTCATTTTTAGAGGCAGCTTTGGAGGGATACCCCCAGCTCCCCCGTCTTGTTCCAGCAGCTGTTGGGAGCAGTCCGAAGGGGGTATTATGTTTCTTCTGGTAACTCTGCCAAGAATGAGAGGAAATCCACAATCTGTGGGTTTTGTAGGGGGGGTGAGGATGGGGTGGCAGGTGATGGGACAGGGAAATTAAATTGTTTTATAGTAAATATGTTGAGATATTTTTCCTGGAAAGCTGTTTCACTAAAAGGAATGATATTTCCCCTGCTCACTAACCCTGTAATGAGTTCCTTCTCTTTAAAGAAAGGAAAATGGTCTTTGAGTACTTCTTTTTCTTTTTTCCCTGTAGTTCCAACTTTGACCTCCCATGTTTCTTTGAGTTTTTCTTTAGAAAATCTACCTTGAAAAGTTGAATCAAGGTTCAGATATGGGTGGTACGTGTGTTTGTCCCCTCTAGAAGTGAGTTGCTAAGGGTGAACTTCATCCCTTATTTTGGATGCAGTTTGACTTTATCATAATGGCCTAGAAGCTGGAGATGTGGCAACTTTCTGGGTGACGTCTGGTTCATATTCTTCCTATCCCTTCATTCAGGCTGGAAGAGCACTAGGGATTTTGAAGTCTGGTCACTTGGGTTGAGAACCTGTTTTGATGATTAATATAGAACACAGTTTCATGATTAAAAACAATAAAAACTCTGGGAAGCAGAGCAGTGTAATTATTTCTCACATTTCAGATGAGGAGTCTAGGGAAAAGTCATTTTGAGGGTATGAGAACAAAGTCTACCTCTTAGTCTGCTAGTGCCTAATTCATGTCTCAGAGGAAGGCCTGTTCACTTATCCCTGCCCCCTCCCCCCAAATTGGCATCTTTCTTGCCATTGTTCGTTTTTAAAAAGTACTAAATCAGTCTTTCCAAAAGTTGTATTGTGGGACTCTTGAAAAACTAATTTTATAATCAAATGAGTGGGGGAAATGCTATGCACCACACTCCCTCTCCTGGGGATCACAATGCCCATTGGAGATTAAAGGCACTGGCAAGTCCTGCGATATAGGGACCTGTTTAATTTTGTTTCAGCCAGCATTGTGCAAATTGTTTTGACCATAACATTCTTTTTTTCACTGTTAAATATCTCTTTAACATCTTACAGAACACACATACTGGTCAAGTGCGTGCAAATACAGAACCTAACCAATGCCAGGAGGAAAAGGATTGAACAGTCACTAAGTTCTGAATCTTAAGCTCATTCATATAAAGGACCAGGGTTATGCTTAGTGCTTCTGAAACTATCTAGACACCTTTGGCATGTGGCTGCCGTGTTAAGATACTTTATCTGCTCAGATTTTTTTCCTTGAGCCTCTCTAGAATAAGAATTTGGAGGCTTTGGTTGACTTCTTGAAGATGTGGTATGTTACACATTTTGAGAAGGGCCTTTGGAGCTAAGGTATTGTTCCAAGTGTGACTTGCCAAAGGGAGAACCATGTTTTGGAAACTCTTGCTTGAGCAGTTCCAAAGCAATATCTATCAAAATACCTATTATGCTAGGACCATGGTTCTCACCTTTTATGTTAAAGACATAGTTTTGTATGATGTTAGAATTTTTGATAGAGGATTAAAAGTGAATGTCATTTTTTAAAAAAAAAGCAAGTTTCAGAAAATTGAAAACTTGTTCATGATTATTTACACTATGTACTTGTTCACCCTCTGGTGTGTTAATATTTGAACAGAATTGTTTGTAGCCCTGACCTTGTTCTCTTATATCCTTCGAGGTAAAGTTCATATATGTTCCTCTGAACATGCAATTTTCATTTTATTTTCAGCAAATTGTATCATGGGCAACATTTTTGCTTAGTGTCTGATGGAAATCCCTGTAAAAGTGTGGATCGTCAGTTGAACAAAAATAAATTCTATACATTGTTTAAAATTTAATGGTGCACTTATTCAGGGTTCCTGCTATTCTACTTGTCTGCACAGTGATTGTTGAGAGCCACTTTTAGAAGCATAAAGTGGTTTAAGACTTGATCCTGTGGAATTTATGACTAAATTAGACAATAAGATGTATAGCTGTGAAAAGCTAGCAATGCCTAGATGTATGGTAGGTTCCACCTAACAGTTCAGATGACATGGAGAGGAATGTTTGGAAGAGTCACGGAAGTAGAGGCGCTACCAAGATTTTAAAGAATGGATGAATTTGACTAGTCCCCAGAAGCTTTAGTCAGGGGCAGAGATAGGCTGGTGCTGGCAATGTAAGTGAAAATGTCAATATATGAGTGAACATGGAAGAGATTGGCTTGGAGGCAGTCCAGTTGCGTAGTGTGAAGAATGAAAAGTGAGTTGAATGGGTAAAGTGGGTGGACAATTGGGAATCTTTCAAGGGAGGTGTGGGTCAGTTCAGTCAGCTCCATGCCCTCTTTGTGCATGGTCTTGTCCTCATGCTGGCATGTTTCCTACAGTCTTCTTTCACTCTGAATTTTGGGGCTATTCTTTGTTCCCTGGCTAAAAGGATAAGTAATTTAACATGATATAAAGATTTTTCATTAATTTTTTTTGAACTTTAATTATAAACCTCTGCTACTGAGGCTATTGGAAGATTCAGGCTAATGCAAGCATAAATGAGAAGTTAGAAGGTTCTTATCTGGGGAGGGACAGCGCGGTTGGGGGGAGCGGGGAGGTTGAGGAGGGCTGACACTGGGAGAAATACCTGATGTAGGTGCTGGGGGTAGGGGGATGAAGACAGCAAACTACCATGACATGTGTGTACCTATGCAACAATCCTGCAAGATCAACACATGTACCCCAGAACTTAAAGTACAATTAAAAAAAAAAGAAGGTTCTTGTCTTTAGCTACTTAAATACTTTACACTAAAGCCAAGTTCTTAGCATTGGTAGAAGAACTGGTGAGTACAGGAGGCAATCTGGAGGAAAATCTGGAGAGGAAGAGGATAGGAGAAATCTAGAGATGGTGTTAATTTAAAATTCCAAGCCCCAAGGCTGGGCGTAGTGGCTCACGCTTGTAATCCCAGCATTTTGGGGCCTGTAATCCCAGCACTTTGGGAGGCTGGAGCGAGTAGATCGTTTGAGGTCAGGAGTTCAAGACCAGCCTGGCCAACATGGTGAAACCCTGTCTCTGCTAAAAATACAAAAATTAGCTGGGCGGTGATGGCGTGTGCCTGTAATCTCAGCTACTTGGGTGGCTGAGACAAGAGAATTGCCTGAGCCTGGGAGGCGGAGGTTGCACTGAGCCTAGATTATGCCACTGCACTCTAGTCTGGGTGACAAGAGTGAGACCCTGTCTCAAAAAAATTAATTAAAATGAAATAAAATTCCAAGTCCCAAGCATTTTGTGTAACTCTGTTCTCCCCTCCTTGGCCCATGCCCCTTGACATGGCCTTGTTCTACATTGTGGACACTTTCCTGAGTTTCCATCCACATCAGCAGGATGTTATAGAAATAATGCCATCCATGCAGTTGGTCAGCATTAGTGGCTTCCAGGGGAATCAAGCGGCGAGATAGGACAGAGAGGAAAATTGATCTGTGTTCCAGGAGTTTTCTGATCTCAGAGATTGTGTAGGTTTAAGACTTCTTCCATATACTTACACTTCCCCTTCCTTCCCTCCAGCCATTTTTCTTCAGAGTAGGTTTATTTATTTGCTTTTTGTTTTGGGGTGTGAGCAAGGAGAGGGGAAATGAAAGGTCATTCTAGATAACTGCCTAGATTAATTTCTGTCCCTCTGGACTCACTTGCCAAGATTTTAAGGGGCCAGATAGCTTACTGTGGGTGCATGTTGTGTTGTTTTTGTTTAAAATAGGTCATGTGCCCAGGAATGCAAACTCTAATGGACAGCTGAGAGGTAGGGGGCCTGGTGGAAAAATGAGCCTAAGGCAAGAGAAGGAGGGCTGGGAAAATGGCTGTTCAGCCAGGCCCAAGGGCCAGGTCCTCTGTCCAGGTCCTCCATGTGTTAACCAGGCATTAATTTTTTTGAGAGGAGCACCCTCACTTTACATTAGTAACCAAGTGGAGAAATGTCTGGCCAGAGGCTGCTTCAAGGGTGGGAGCAAGGGTCCCTGGTGAATTCCAAGGGGCATCTGCTCCTGTCTTCTCAGGTACTTTTCTTCTGCCGCCTTGTTCTACTGACCCCCTTTGACTGGACAGTGACATATTCCCACAGGGAGGGAGGGATACTTGTTTTCAGGGGAAGGAGATATTTTTAAAATTCCTTTAGATTTTTCAGGAGCAGAAGCCAATGAAAGTGTAGCTATGATTTGGCCAACAGATAGGGAAACTAACCATTCAAGATGGTTAGACAAAAGAGTTGAAAAAGCTGAGCTGTTAAGTTGTTTTTAACCAAGAAGAGCTTTTTCAAGTCAAAGCCAAAGAGAATTTTTTTTTCAAAGTCTAAATTTGAAGGACTACAGCCAAGTATTTTGATTATGATGTTCATCTTGGGAGAGGATGCTTGCACCTGCTGTTTGGTAGCAGCTTCTAAAGTTCAACTTTGAAAGCTTCTTGGTGCTATGATCAAGCCCTCAGGGGAGTGTTTTGACCCTTAGTAGTGTCACATGGCAGTTAAGTGACCAGGGAGATGAGAGAAGTGCTGTCCTTATTTTAATTCAGGAAATATGTCCATTCTTTTGCTTTTCTTTTCTCCCTGCTATGATCTAGAATATTCCCTTTTTAGTTTCATCACCACTTATTAATTTTAGACTAAATTCGAGAGAAGTGATATAACTGTAAGCAGTCTTTGCCTTTATATCTGGGAGGGATTTGCAGATAAGAGTAGACAGGGAAGTCTTTTTTTTTTTTTTCCTCCCCATTTAGAGTTCAGTACCTTTGACCCATCCTGTTAAGTATTTTTTACTGTCCTCAGTAGCAGTTTGGTAGTGTAAGTAGCTCTCTAGTGATTTAAAACCAGGGACTACCTTCACCCATTAGAAGAATTCAGTAAAAGATTTTAGTCTTAACATGTGTATAGCCAAATCCTAATTGTTCAGCCTGAAAGATAACAAATGTTTGATATTGGAGGAACAATTTCTAATAGTTATAACTAAACTAATTAGAAAAATGAGTGATTATTAGAGTCATGTTAGTGATGACACCATTAATGGCTATTATCTACTACCTATATTTACGTAAAGATAACCTTTTTCATAGTGATTTATAACATACTGTACTTTGTTTTAGGTGTCATTTTTAAAAACAATCGTGTGAAATATTATCCTCATTTTATAGGTGAAGAAATGGATAATTAGAGACGTTAGTTACCTGTGTTGTATAATTAGTAAGCTGTAGAATTGGGATATAGATCCCAGTTTCCTGAGTCTGCCTTCTGTGCTTTTTCAATTTTATTTAATCTGCTTTTTAGTTAGAGGTAAATAGGAAGACATAACTATCAACAATTATGTGATATATTTTCAACAATTGCTGACTTGGTAAAGTACCATCTATTAACATCTTTAGACCAGTTATTATTATTTCTTTTTTTGAAATGGAGTTTTGCTCTTGTCGCCCAGGCTGGAGTGCAGTGGTGCAATCTTGGCTCACTGCAACCTCTGCCTCCCCGGCTCAAGCAATTCTCCTGCCTCAGCCTACCAAGTAGCTGGGATTACAGGCGCCCGCCACCATGCCTGGCTAATTTTTGTATTTTTAGTAGAGACAGGGTTTCACCATGTTGGCCAGGCTGGTCTTGAACTCTTAACCTCATGTGATCCACCTACTTTGGCCTCCCAAAGTGCTGGGATTACAGTCTTGAGCCACAGTGCTTGGCCTGGACCTGTTATTTATGGAGACATAATTTTATGTTGTGTCTCCCCACCTCTACCTTTATAAATTTAACTTAGTTTAAAAAATATCATTACTTGCTATAGTTGTTGCTGAAATGTTTTGCAGCCCTCTCATTTGTCATTTCTAGTGGCAGTATATTCCATTGCATTGGTAGACTATTCTCCCCCACAGACAAACCTTCGGGCTATTTCCAGATTTTAGCTCTAATATATAGCTGCAGCTATAAATACCTTTGTAAAAATTTTTTCTTTTGAATTATTTCTTCATGATATAGTGCTCAAACTAGAAATGCTAGAGCATCAGCTGTCATTTAATGACTTTTGTCTTAACAGAATTCCTTTCTGAAAGACTGTACCAGTTTAATGTGCTATAAGCAACACGTAACCAAATCCACACTCTTCTGTCAAATTAAAGCTAGTGTCAGCTTTTTCTGCCTAATAGATGTGAGGTGGTACTTTAAAAATTGTTTTAAGGTACATGCCTGTAAACCATTCTTGTAGGATGTTCCTCCATTGTTTTACCATGAGTGAACACTGCGTGACTGTCCTTATCCTCTGTCAGACATGGATGATAGGATATTGGAGACAGGGTTTTATCTCGATAGATTTTTATTAGCTCCCTAAAAGTTTTAGAGATAAAACTTACATCTATAGTGTTAGTTAAAAATTTTTCCCTACCCTGTTACTCTGTGTTGCTTTTAATCTTTTTTCCCTTTATGTAGCATTTCAAATTTAATAGCACTAAACTCAAATACTTTATAATTGATACATTTCTATTGTTTCAATAGAATAATTTCTATTCCATTTCAGTTGGGAAATTATCTCTGTTCTTCATTGAAATATGTATATGTTTTGTTTTCTTCTAGTTAAACTTTTAAATTCACAATCATATTTTTTGGAATTTATTGTGGTATGAGATGACAGTCTAAATCAGTTTTTTGCTCTATTGATATTCAGTTATCAACAGCATTTATTATTACTATTTTAATGAGTATTTGAATATTACTCAGCCATAAAAAGGAATGAAATAATGTCTTTTGCAGCAACTTGGATGGAATCGGAGGCCATTATCCTAAATGAAGTAATGCAGGAGTGAAAACCAATACTGCATGTTCTCAACTTATAAGTGGGAGCTAAGCCATGGGTACACACAGGCATACAGAGTGGTGTAATAGACATTGGAGACTCAGAAGGGAGGAAGGTGGGAGCAGGCAGAGTGATGAAAAATTACCTGTTGCATACAATGTCGCTATTCAGGTGACTGGTATACCAAAAGTCCAGACTTCACCATTATACAATTCATCCCTGTAACCAAAAACCACTTGTACCCTAAAGCTATTGAAATTAAAAAATTTGAAAAAAAGAAAAATTAGAAAATATGTAAAAGTATAAAGGAGAAAATAGAAACACTCAAAGTTGGCTATCTGCAGTTAACTATGGGTGTTTTATTTTACCCTTTCAGTGTTCTTTCTAGCCATGCATATTCTTATTCCCTCTCTCTTTTCCTTTTAATAAAAGTCAGGAATGTGCTTTACAAACCTAATGGCACTTATTAAAGTGATTTTTTTCCTTGGTTTCCAGTTTTCTGTTTGTTATATCTTAAATTCATATCAGTTTGGGCCATTTCTTGCTTTCTTTTTTTAAAATCAAAGACAGTTGCTTATTGCTTATTTCTGATTGAACAGAATATGCTTCCTAGGAATGCACTTATTAGAAATATAATTCCCACCACTTTGGGAGGCTGAGGCAGGTGGATCACCAGGTCAGGAGTTCAGGACCAGCCCGGCCAACATAATGAAATCTAGCCTCTACTAAAAATACAGAAAATTAGCCGGGCATGTTGGCAGGCACCTGTAGTCCCAGCTACTTCAGAGGCTGAGGCAGAGAATCACTAGGCGGAGGTTTCAGGGAGCTGAGATTGTGCTACTGCACTCCAGCCTGGGTGACAGAGTGACACTCTGTCTCAAAATATACATACATATAAATAAATAAATAAATAAATATATATATATAATTGCTCTTTATCAACACTTATTGATATGCATAAGGTATTGGGCAAATGAAAACAGTACCTGACATATTGTAAGCACCACATTAAATGTTGGTTAAATAAATTATAATTGGAATCATGATCCAGAGAGATTTATAACATTCTATATCATTTAAAAATAGTATTCAGTTGGCCAGGTGTGGTGACTCATGCCTGTAATGCTAGCACTTTGGGAGGCCAAGGCAGGAGGATTGCTTGAGGCTGGGTGTTGGAGACTAGCCTGGGCAACATGCATATATACTTACTACAGTGAATACATAGCTGCCTCTAGAGAGGGAGAAAGTCTTGGCTAGGGGTTTCAAGAAAGACTCACTTTTACAGTTGTTAAACTTTCATATTATCTGTGTTTTCTTTTTTATCCTATGTATTTATTACTTTATTAACCAAAAATAATTCTATACAAATAAATAACACTGGGGAGGCAGAATATTATTTAGCTAGAAGTAAATTAAGTATCTTCTCTCTGCCTGCCAAAATCATTCTTTCTAACCTATGTCCGTTAGAATCTTGAAAGCTGGACTTGCTTGCTGGCTTTTAGTAAAAGGTGGTAAATGTGAAGGTATAAGTAGAGGCTGGAAGAAATGAGTGTATTTCTCCCTGGCCAGCGAATTTCCAGGCAGACATGGCAGTTATCACTCTGTGTCCCAACCAGTGTACCTTCTTTTCCCTATTGCCTATTAACCCATCCCCAAATGGTGCTATACCTGCTGCCTGTGTGCTCTCTTCTTCTCTTACTGCTGTTAATTCAGCTCACCCAGAAAGTACTATTGACACTCGCTCGCCAATGTTTTGAAGAATTTAAAACGCATAGAAAACTTGAATGAATTAATTGTACCATGAACACTTACATATTCACCATCTAGAGTCTATAATTAATATTCGGCTATATTTGCTTTATCATGCATTTCAAAATAAGTTACAGATATCAGAATATTTACCCCTAAAGTCTTCAGTGTGCATGCATATCATTGACTAGAGTATATTAGTTTATGGGTTTTTTTTTTTTAAGAAAAATATATATACAATGAATTTATATTTGAGTGAACTGCACAAATCTTGTATATCATTTGAGGTATTTCTTTTCTTTTTTGTATAATTAGAGAGGGGGTCTTATTCTGTTTCCTAAGCTGGAGTGCAATGGTGGAATCACTGCTCACTGTAACCCCAAATTCCTGGGCTCAAGTGATCCTCCCATCTTAGCCTCCCAAAGTGTTGAGATTACAGTTGTGAGCCACCACATCCTGCACATTTGATGCATTTCTGACAAATGCATATATATTTTTATAACCCAAACCCCTTCAAGACTTAAATATAAAATATTACCTCAGAAAGTTTCCATGTGTTCTTTCCTAGTTAGTCTCCAGCCCTACCCTGGTGGTAATCACTGTTCTGATTTTTTTCACCATAGGTTAGTTGTCTCTCTTCTCAAGCTTCATGTAAATGAAATCATACATTATGATCTCTTTTGTGTAAGATTTATTTTATTCAACATGATGTTTCTGTGATTCATCCATATTACAATGTGTATCAGTACTTCTTTCCTTTTTTTGCTGAGTAGTATCCCATTGCATGAACCTACCCTAGTGTGTTTATCCATTCTCCTGGATGCCTGGGCTGTTTACCACTTTGGGCTATTATAACTAAAGTTCCTATGAACATCCTTATGTAAGTCTTTTTGTTTTTCTAAGGTTATTGCTAGGTCATAGAGTACATATATGTTTAGATTTATAATAAACTGCCAGACCTTTTCCCAAAATGGCTGTACTGTTTTGCTTTCCCACCAACAATATTGGAGAGTTTCTTCCTGGTCTTCCAAAAATATATGAACAGATACACAGAAGACTTCCTCATCAGGGTACAAACTCTTTGTCAGATATACATTCTGTGAATCTTCTCCCAGACTACAGTTTGTGTATTCACTTTGGTGAACGGAGATTTTGGAGTTGATGAGTCTGATTTATTGGATTTTTCTGTTATTGCTTTCTGTGTCCTAAGAAGTCTGTGTCTGCCTTCTTAGAAAGATATTTTTATATATTTTTCTCCTGGCAGCTTTATAGTTTTAGATTTTAAGTTTATGATCTGTTTTGAATTACTTTTCCTGTATGGTGTGAGGTAGGGGTCAGGGTTCATTTCATTTTTTTTTTTTTCCATCTGGATATCCAGTGGTTCCAGGATTAATTGTCATCCATTCTCCATTCGATTGATTTGACATCACTGTGTACATTTTTAATCGTTTAAAGGACAGGCTTTTCTCCTTGGCTTTCTTGGTTAGTCAAGTATGGAGAGAGAACAGTTACTCCTTCCTGGTCTCCTAAACTGTTTACTTGTATTCTGAATGCCCTGAATTTTCTGTGCTTGGCAATAAGTTGTAGTGATTGGATTATCTGTTCTGTCTGGACATAGGATGACCAGTGTCCCAGTGAAGGAACGGGTGAAGGTGTCTCAGAACTGGAGACTGGGGCGCTGCCGAGAGGGGATTCTGCTGAAGTGGAGATGCAGGCAAGTAGCCTCTTGACTTTTTTGAAGCTACCTGGGACATAAAAGCATAATGGAAAGTAAAAAATCTGGTCCTACCTAGAGGCTAATGGGGCTATCTTGGGTGACGTGGCACTGGTGAGCCTTTGAACACCACAAAGGGGGCATCAGGACAACTTTTTTTACATTTCAATGAGGGAATATAAGAAATGTACTTTAACAAATGACATTTTTTATGATTATAAATAAATCAATGTTTATCATAGAAATTTGAAGAAAAAGAAAATTCTAAAGAAGAAAATAAAACTAACTTGTAACTCCACCACTCAGAGGTAACCTCTGTTAACTTTCACCATCAAAGGAAATAAATGAAATCAAGGTCCCAATTCATCTTATTTTACAAATATTTTTCTTTAAATCTTCTACTTTATGGAGTTACTTCTTCATTCTTAGCTTCCTTGAGTCCTCTCCCCTACTATATTAAAAGGAAGGGTAGGATCTAAAGGTTTGGATACATGTGTTACAGGAGTTAGAGCTTAGAGCAAGTGTCAGGAAATTTAGAAAATGCCTGTGGCACTGCTAATGCCACCAATTTTTATGCTTCATTGATGCTAAATGATTTCATAGTTATTATTTGACTCCCTACCAAAAAATTACTCCTTGTTGATTGGTTGCAATGGTTAGGGAAAATCGGGAGTCCACATATTGGAATGACTTGTACCTGTGCGGAAGACACAGGCAGTCCTCCTCATCTGATGAACCTTTCTTTCTTGCTTGTGTCCAGTTTCCACTGGTTTCACTGGCATCAGATGCTGTGAATTATGTGGTAATGGGTAGTGGTGGTGGTGGTGATGGTAAAGAAACTACAGGAGAGAAAGATGGGTTTTTATGATGAAGGTCTTTACCCTCTGCTTCCCACATTTGCCATTTGGGGCAAGTTTCAAACAGTTTGGCAAATAAACACAGAACAGTTACCAGGCTGCCCTGGGATTCTCCACTGTTCACCTGGCATGAACCTGGTTTCTTGTCCTAGGCAAATGGCTGTTTACCAGATGGCTCTAAACACAAAAATTCCCACCCTCTCTGTTTGTTGCCTGCTTGAGTATACCACACACTCACGCAAGGGGGTGTTGAAGAAGAATGTGCATAATGAGTGAGAAAGCAGGCATCTGTACACACTCTACACATGTTCCGTGTAATATATGCACACACTTGTAAAAACCTCATGAGCAGAAACTCAGTTACTACAAAGTCTAAGCTGCATTTAATGGCCCGTCAAGTCAATTTGCAGAACTTTTCCACATTCCCATGACGCTTGTATTGAGTCTGGGGAAGAAACACAACCCAGTTTGCTCAGACAGGCTTGGCAATAGGAGATGGTGGCTCTGTTCATGGGGATGAATCAGCTGTCCCTGTACTTTTCTTGGGACCTGGTAACTCCAGGACCTCTATGTAGAATAGGATGGGTGGGATGTCCACCTTGGGAAAGGGGCTTAGTTTCCACCAGAGAGGCTAGGATCTGACAGAGTTTTCTTTCTTCTTAAGGCTCATTCCCTGCCACAGGACTTGCCTGTGGCTTTAGCCTTTCTTTCTCCTGTCAGATTGTAGAGGGAATCTTTAACTATTTGTGGATTTCTCTTATCAGTTGCCTGTGAGAGCTGACTTTTTCTGTAGCCCCTGAACTGTAGCAGAATGCTCTGGGGCTGTGTTTTTCCATTGCCACACTTACTCTCTAATACAGAAATGTAGATATCCCTGTGAGGATCTGGGTATCTAATCAGTACTTTAGCATCCTTTCCTAAATGGCTTTATTCCTTTCACTTATAAATGGCCCCGTAGGTCTAACAGAACAAGAGAATGGGGCTTCCCAGGGTTTATTCTACTCTTTTCTCCATCATACTTTAACTGATCTATTGTGAAAGAGGTATGTATGGGAGTCCTAGAACCTTGAAACTTCCCACTTATACTTTAAATCAGTGAAGATGCAGAATGAAAGAAAGCTATTTCACCTGGCTAGAAGATTTTTTTTTTTTGAGATAGAGTCTCCCTCTGTTTCCCAGGCTGGAGTGCAGTAGCACCATCTTGGCTCACTGCAAGCTCCGCCTCCCGAGTTCAAGTATTCTCCTGCCTCAGCCTTCTGAGTAGCTTGGATTACAGGTGTGCCACTATGCTCAGCTAATTTTTGTATTTTTAGTAAAGACAGGGTTTCATCATATTGGTCAGGCTGGTCTTGAACTCCTGACCTCAGGTGATCCACCTGCCTCGGCCTCCCAAAGTTCTAGGATTACAGGCATGAGCCACTGTTCCTGGCTGAAGATTTTTTTTTTGACCCTTCTTACCTCTTGACCATTGAATTTTGTAAGCTCTGACTACCCATGAGAAGTCCAGGTAGCCAGTAATTGAAACATTAAGTATTCTCCAATTAAAGTGGTATTTAGTTGGTCTTTCAATTTTGAATCTTTAAGAAAGTCCAAGGAAGATTAGATCACCACAAAACTCAGTCACTCTAGTTTTCTGAGGGTAGCTGAGGGGTAGGTAATTTTGAAGGAGAGTATCAAGTATAGATAATTAGCCTTGTTGGTTATCCTTGCTAAGTTGGGGATTGGTTAGTCTGTTCAAAGATTGGAGTTGAGTTTTCATACTGTATCTTGATAACTTTTAAATTTTCTTTTCCATCATTTCAGTCAGATGCCTTGGATGCAGCTAGAGGATGATTCTCTGTACATATCTCAGGCTAATTTCATCCTGGCCTACCAGTTCCGTCCAGATGGTGCCAGCTTGAACCGTCGGCCTCTGGGAGTCTTTGCTGGGCATGATGAGGACGTTTGCCACTTTGTGCTGGCCAACTCACATATTGTCAGTGCAGGAGGGTAAGTGCTGCAGGTTTTTCTTTCCACCCTTTTCCATCTTATTCTTCAGGGACATTCTGCCTGCCTCTGACTTTTCTGTCTTAACTCCAAAAAGATGAGGAGGGAGACCAGAAGTGTTTTCCATTTAAAGCAGAGGGATTTTACCAAAAACAGTTAATAGGGTTAGCTGGAGAAGGAAAACAGTAAGAGCTTCTAATAAAAAGTGAAGCTGGTTTTGATCTTCTCCAGGGGAAAATTTATTTTGTCTCTCAGCTCTGTTCAGCCCCAAGTGTGCTGAAGAAGTAAAGGTATCTAGAAACTCAGCACCTTACTGGGCTGAATTGCCTAATGCTTAGCAAATTTGGATGTCATTGGAGACTTGGGCTGTTTCTGGAGAGTTGTTCTGTTCCTACAGAGAGAATAATTGGTTTTTGGGGGGTCGGCTCCTTATTTCTCTCCTAGAGATGGGAAGATTGGCATTCACAAGATTCACAGCACCTTCACTGTCAAGTACTCGGCTCATGAACAGGAGGTGAACTGTGTGGATTGCAAAGGGGGCATCATTGTGAGTGGCTCCAGGGACAGGACGGCCAAGGTGAGGTGGTCTCCCCCTTACATGCTATTACTCCGTCCTCTCTATAGGGAGTGGGGTGGATAGAGCCCTGAGTCCCAGGATTGGCTGAGAGCATTGGCTGGGGGCAGGGGAGAAAATGACACAATAAAGGACTCACTTATGTGCCTCTGGCATGCAGCTTGCCATGCCAATCGTTGTCCTCGCCAGCTGGACTGGGAAAGGAGTGGACAGTGGCTGGGAAGGTTGCCACTCACTTGCAATGTGGCGTGAACTCAAAAACAGAGGACCTGGCAGCTTTTCCTCCCTGAGTTGCGTTTCGTCAAGTTTGTGGGTTGAGTTCTGACCCTAATATTTTATTTTAAAATCTCCCTCCTTTTGCTTGCTCTCTGTTTAGGGAGGTTAATTTTTCACCACCTTGTTTATAAACAATCAGGCTGATAATTAAAATGTGTTTTCACTGCTTCTCTGGAGAGTGATGTGGTCAGTAAGCAGTAGAGACGATGAGAGAGGGGTGGTGTTTGTTGCATCTTTGCCAAATTGCCCGGTCCACAGATACCCACCAAAGCATAAAAGAAAGTGAGGCTGATAAATAGCATGATCCTTACTTCATGGACTCTTCTATGTCTGGGTCAGATAGGCTCCCACCTGGGAGACAGAGAAATCTTTCTCCAGGCCTGTGTCCAACAGCCCTAGCCAGGGCCTGCACAGGCCTGGTCCTTTAGGGTTGCTGCAGGAACTTTGCTGACAATTCAGTTGGTGGTGCAGGAGGCCCAATAGTGTCTTGTGTATTTCCTAGTATCTAGGTTCCATTGTGCTAACAGGAGCAAAATGCTTACTGGTGTGTCAGCAAATGGGCCTCTAAAACACATAGGGAGAGGACTCAGGAGAGGGAAATTGCAATCTTTACTCAGAAACTTCTCTGACTACATGTACCCTCTGGTAATTACACATCCATATAGAAATATTGCTAATTTATGTAAAAAGAAGGGCTAAATATGTTCTCTTCTTTTTATGGAAGTTTCTCCTCCCTTTACTATTTTCTTCCTTATTTTGAACTCCGTCAGAGAGAATGAACAGAAGCACAGAAAGCTTGAGAAAAATCCAGCAACTCTTTTGAACCAACACGAAACTGAATTTCCTGTCATTTGCTTTCTATTACCTTTCTTCATACTTAGGCTTCTGATTGGTCACTGTCTTTGTACCATTCCTTGAAAAGATCCTGGCCTAAACCTGTTATACTGCTTAAAAGCCAATTTGCATAGAAATCTTCTGTGGCATGTGTGACCTAGGTATTCCTGTCTTATTCTAGCATCTTCCTGTCATGGCTTCAGGCTTCCCCAAGTTCCTCCTTTTCAGTGACACCTCTTTCTTCTGTTCTCCGTGGTCTGATACCCAGAGCAGTATAAATCCAAGCTTTATAACCACAGGTAGCAATTTGAGGGCATGGATTGCTTCCAGGTAAAGAATAATAGCAAATTTATTTGAGGTATTGGGTTAGTTTCATGTTTAAGTACTGATTTAGCCCTATTTAGTATCTTAGATTTTTTAAAAGATCTAACATAGATACTTCCTTCTAAAATTGTCACCACAGTCCATCTTCTTCCTTCTGAGGATTTCTTTTAGGTCAGTGACAGAACCCTCTTCTCTGGTCCTGAAAGCTGGTCAGCTGTTTTGTGGCTCCCCTGTGACCTCTCTGCCAACTTGTCTTTCCTGGCTCTCCAGATGCTGCCTGGGTTTCCCTCCTCTCTGTTGTTATCTTTGCATCCAGCCATCTTTGTTATCCTGAGCCATTTCCACATCAGTGTACCCAGTTTGTCTTTTATAACTGAAACATCATTTCTTTTCAGTGGCATCTGAAACTCTACAGCTGCTTCTCCAGGCTTCTAATACACCTGAACCTTCATAAGAATTACAATATTTGCCTGTAACCATCTATTTTTGGGGAGTTCTCCGAATATACACTGTATTTTAGGAAAGAGATTTATTTTATGGGGTAAAGGGAAGTAAAACAATCTCTTTGCAAGACATCGGAACTAGGGACTGTCCAGAGAACCCTATTCCTTCCCCTGCCCACAAGCCCAGTTTCACATTTACTGTGACTTACTTAGCTTGGATTGTGTCTCTGGGCTTTAGTGGGGCCAGCCCCACCTTGAGATATGAACAGATGGTAACTTATGTTCTTAATGAGCCTGGGCTGGTACTAACCATTCCTTCATTTCCTCCTTTATTTCTCTATTCTTTCTTACGAGTGCCTACTGTGTGTGAGGCACCTGGCCTCTTCAGAGGTAAAGGAGACACAGCCTTTTATCCTTAGGGTGAGATGAGATGTGTGTACCTGGCCATGCAGCTGATTGAAAGTGGCTGGGACTGTGAAGTATAAAGCTCTAGGGAAAGAGCCAGAAAGTTTAGAGGGTGGAGAGATCAGATTACATCTGGCTTAGAAGGGAAGATTTATTGTAATAAGAACCACCATTATTGTTTGCCTGATACCTGCCAAATTCTGTGCTGCTGTGCTAGATGCTTTATACTTATCTCCGCTTTTCCACACTATAACCCTGAGATAGGCATCATTTCCCATTTGACACATGGGGAAACGGGAGCTAAGAAGTTATCCCTAAGATCAAAGATAATAACAACTAGGGTTCAAATCCAGATTGGTCAGATGCCAAAGCCTATGCATGCTTTCTCTGCAACTGCAGGCTGCAGGTAATATTTTACTATTTAGATTTTTCTTTGTTTTAGTATTATTTTCTTAGGATAGATTTTCAGCAACAAAATTACTGAGTTAAAGGCTTTGGTCATTTTAAAGGTTATGATGCATATCACCAGTCTGCTTTTAAAAAGAAATGTATAAATGTCTACTCCCACTGAATCTTTTCTAGGGATGGATCTGTTTTGAATTTGGCCATGGAAGGCAAAGATAGGATCAGCATATTGTTGTCAACTCCTGTCCCTCAGGTGCCAGGATGGAATCTCATGTTTGAGGATGATGTGCTGCTGGGCCAAGCCAGGAGGGTCACTTTCCTAAGATCATGTTCAGAATTGGTGGCATGCTTCCTAAGCCACTCCTGGAGACCAGGAATCTTATTTTGTCTTTTGCAGAATTTAGGAATCAATCTTCCCTTCCGTGGAGGACATTAGTGAATTCAGGCCTAGGCTGTCCCCACAGATTTTATGATCGGAGTCTTTAGTGTCTCCTCACCCTTTCAGCAAGAATCTGCCTCCCAGGGAGTTTGTGTCAGGGAAAAGGCAAAGCTCTCTTCTTAGCTGGGCTGCCTAAAAGAGTACATTGAAAATGTATCTAGTTATTGCAAAGGGAACTGACTATGGAGTCCAAAGAGTAGGCCCAAATCATGACACTCAGGAAAAGTTGTGGTGTTTACCTTTGTTTTCTGCCCCTCCTCATTTAGGATCTTCTTGTTACGTTTATTTTCTTTTCACTGTGTTGGGAAAAGTAACTCACACAATCCTCCCATCCCCCACCCCCATCATACACACAAGCTCTAAGAAACACTTTCTCCTTTTATAGGGAAGAGTTATCATGTGACCCTAAGAAGGCAGGACCACCCCCGCTCCATCACCTACCCTTTAAACTCGAGGAATGTTTTCTTTAAAGTTCTTCCTTCTAAGGTCCTGCCTGAGTTTTGTGTGTTCCCCTTATAGCACTGCTGGGACCTTAAGAGGTCATTGATCCATCTGGCTGCCTCTGGATCCCTTTGTGGCTGCTGTCTCGGGATAGTCCTGTACATTCGAGGTTTCCTTTCTGTTTGGTTAGAGGCTTATGTCCCTGTGTGTGTCATCTAGAGTAGGGTGAGGTGAGGGGGAGCCCTGTGCTTAATGGGAGATGTCTAAATGCACTGACTGCTGAGAGGGCTCTGTGAGTGTTGATTAGAGTTAAGCTCAGAGTGGCTGCTAATGTACATTCCTGACTGATAGGGACCAGATAATGTGCTCCAAGCAATATTTTTAACCTGTAGGAGATATGGAAGCTTAACAGAGTTAAGCTTTTCTGCTACTTTTGGTGACACTAGGTGCTAAATTCCCTGCTGACGTGAATAGTATTGGATCCTGGGCATTATCAGCAAACAAACAACAACATACCACCTTCCCACTTGGAAGTCTCTCTTCTTCTTCCATTCTTTCCTTCCCTTGCATCTTTCTTTTTACTTCTCTCTCTAAGTCTATTGCTGTCCCCTCCATACTGTGCCTTGATCTTCCTCCCTCTCCCTGCTTCTCCAGAGTAAAATCTTGGTGAGAGATAGGAGAAAGGAAAATCCACAAATATAGGAAAGCTGCCAAAAGAGGCAAGCCCCACCCACCCACTACTTCTCAGTCAAGTCTCAGCTGAGGAATGTGGAACTTCTGATTCCCCGATATAAAGTTGCCTGGTAAGTAAGGGTTGTCAGTGGAAGTAAAAGAGGGTGGTTAGGATGGAGAGCTAGGGCCTATCTGGGTGGGTAGGTGAGCCAGAAGCTGCAGGGGGCCCTCTGCTGATACCTGAGCTCTGTGTGTGCAGGGCAGGAAAGATGCTCCATTTCTCTACCTCCAATAGTCACCCCTCCTGGAGCACCTCTCCTCCGCACTGATCCCAGGTAATGCCAATGAGAGCATCTCCTCTCCTGTTTCCAGGTATGGCCTTTGGCCTCAGGCCGACTGGGGCAGTGCCTACACACCATCCAGACTGAAGACCGAGTCTGGTCCATTGCTATCAGCCCATTACTCAGGTAAGGGAGACATATTTGGATGTGGTTTTCTCTTGTATAATTATGCTTTTATTTTACTAGATCAGATGAGCTAGAAAATCTTCCACTTGTGTATTCTAGGTTGCTTTGAGCCACCATCTTGGAGATTTTTTAATCCTCCAGAGATTTGAGGTGTTTAGGTCACTTCATATATGCGTGGGATTGAGATAAACTTCTAAATGTGAATTTCCTAAGCATCTAACCTCAGAAATATTAAGGAAAGAATATATGAATATATAAGAATATGACAAAGAGTCCAGCTGTTACCAGGAGTGTCCCTTCTGAAACAGTTGTCTTCTGGGCTTATTCCCAAAGCAGAGGCCTCTCACCACCTCTCGGAGCTGACAGCATCCAACTTGCTCTCACAACTCACATGTCTGCTTTGTTCCCCTTGGAAAATGTCCTCTGGAGTATCCCTTACAGACTTAAGTCATCAGGAGAGGCTTGGGGCCCAGATCCAGCTGGGTCCTCAAACAAAGACGTGTGTGGAGAAGTAGTGACATTGATTATTGTAGCAGAAGTGTGAGATTTTGATGATGGATTTACCCTAGCCTTTGGCCTGACAGTTACTTCTCTCTATCTCTCTCTTTTTTTTATTTATTTTATTTTTTGAAATGGGGTGTTTCTATGTTGACCAGGCTGGGTTTGAACTCTTGGCCTCAAGTGATCCTCCCATCTCGGCCTCCCACTGAACCACTGTACCTGGTCCTGACTGTTAGTTCTCTAACCTTACCTATGAACGAGTTAGGTTTGCATCCGACTCCCACTTTTGAGGCCCTCTGGAACCAAGACAATCCCTCTCCTTCCCAGCAGGGTACATAGACTTTGTTGTACCTGTTCTACCACAATATTTTCCTAGGGTCTTCATCTACTTCCTTTACCCTTCACTCCCTACTCACATGGAAATGTGAAAGCTGTAGGGCTGCCACCCTCCAACACTAGGTTTAAGTCACTCGCTTATTTTATAAGAGACTTGGCCCTACCCACTTTGCTTAGGCCCTTCAGCTTCTTTCTCCTCACCCCATGGAGCCTGCACCCCTCCTCCTGCTCCCTTCCACAACTCCCTTTCAAATTTTTTTCTTCCTAAGAATTAGAGCCGATTAGCCACGTCATTAATTCTTCAATTTGACGGCTGATATAGCAGGACCTGAAACACATTGCTGACCCCAGAGAATGGAGACCCCGTTCCTTAGCATATTGACGATGGGAGAAGTTAATTAAAATTCCACAGAGCAGAGGTGTCGGCTAACCTATAAACCTGTCGCTGTTCAAAACAAATCATTCTAGCAATCGTAGGAAAGAGGGAAGGAAAGACCAGCAGGGAGTAGAGAAGCTAAGTGTGTGGGAGCAGAGGGTAGAAAATGGAGCCATCGAGCTTTGTCTCCTCCTCATTTTCTTCCTAATGCTGCCCTTTTGAAAGCCAATTAGCCAGACCTGGGCATCCATGGGCTGGATAGAAGGAAAGTACCATGGCCAGTGAGAAGTGACAGGTGTGCTAGTGACTTTGTCTTAATGGTTGCGGTTGCTTGTGGACTTCTGCTGGTTTCGGGAGACTGGAGTGGATGGTGGTGGTTGAGAGCTCTCAGGGCGGGAGATGGTCTGTGTGCTTCCTGCTTATGGATTGAGGCCAAAGAACACAAACAGGCTCTGCCCCGCACCCCTACCCTACATTTCTCCAGCCTCCTGCTCTGGAATGTTAGGCTACCTCTTAACAGAATAGGGCACAGCAACTATTGAAGATGGTGTCAATAAAAGATTGAGGACAGAGTCTTCCCTTCATCATTGGGAAGCATTTATGATCACAGTAAACTAAGGTTGGGTTTTTGGCCACAACTTGGAGACTGGCTCTGGGGACGGACCTAGCTTTCTAACATTACTACTGCTAGTATATGACTGCTGCTACTATTAGCAACTAACATTTACTAGTCATTTGCTCTGTGCCAGACCCTCTGCTAAGTCCTTGATGTGTCTCATCCTTGGTGAAGACCTGGGCTTTATGTTTTCTTCACAGTCTTCTTCAGGGCCTTCCTGTCCTCTTCTTGGGATGTTTTTTTTTTTTTTTTTTTTTTTTTTTTGAGAGGGATCTCACGATGTTTTCCAGGGTGGTCTTGAACTCCTGGGCTCAAGCAATGTTCCAACCTCAGCCTTGGGATGATTCCTTCACTCTGTCAGCTCCTGACTCACAATTATTTAAGATGGCCTTCCCCTAACTCCATAGATGAGATCTGGGAATCTTTTAAAAAGTAGTTTGTGTTTGAGATTCTGTCTTTACATTAGATGACCAGAGTGTATGCCAGTGTTATCTCTGCCCCTTTTTCTCTCACCCAAAGAATATACTGCAGTAGGTTTTACCTCATTATTAGGTCCATTTCTTCTCAATGTGACCATGAATTTGAACCTTTCAATAAACTAATCCATTTTCTCAGTCTTAAAAGACACTGCCTCCCAGCCTCAGGGTCTGTTCTTTAGAGCAGTCTAGGAGATGAGTTCTGCTTTGCCTTCAACTAGCAGTGTGGCCTCAGGCAAATCATTCCCTCTCCCAGCCTCAGTTTCCTCATACTAAATGTGAATACTGTTTCCTTTACAGACCTTACTAGATTATTGTGAAGGTGATCTGAAATTATCTATATGAAAATATTAATACTCTGAAAAGCTAAAAGGGCTGTAATATATGTGTGTTATGTATATTGAGGCAGGGTTTCCCTTTATCACCCAGGCTGGTTACGAACTCCTGGTCTCAAGTGATCTTCCAAAAGGGTTATAATGTAACGTCAGCCAGAGTCCTCTCTTGCCTGGTGTAGCATTTGCTTAGTGTCTTCAGCTGCTGTTGAGTCTCTACCCTTCTCCTGGGCTCCTCCTGGCCCCAGGGAGTTTCACTGCTCTTTTACAGTCTTCTTGAGGTGGGGACGCAGTAGGATTCTCTCTTCCCCATGTAGTGTTCCTGCCCTCAGTGACGACCTTTAGTTCTCCTCCCTGCCACCATTCCTGTTGAGTATGGTTGTCAGTGTCATTAATGTGATAGGACCCTCAACTCCTCAAGGAGAACATGAGGGGATGTAGGCAGCCAGTGTACTGGCCCTAGAGCAAGTACTCCTGGTTTACCTGCCAATTTCTCAGCCCCTTGTTGCTCCCTTATGTAGTTAGGAGGAACCTGTACAGTTAGGCAACTAGCACAGCTCTTTTCTCAATTTATCTCTTCTATTTAAAATAATTTGTGAGACCTATTCATTTTATTTATCTTTGATGCTGGGACTTTTCTACCTTCTCTTCTTATATATCTACTCAGGTACTTGTATGAAACATGAAACCTCAATCCAGAGGCTTAATTTGAGGTCCTTGTGACTGAGAGAAAAGCAAGTATCTGTCCTGTGTCCAAGTATCTTCTTTTCTTCCTTCCTTGACTTTGAGTTCTTGATTTGTAAAGAGTAATGGAGGATGATATTTAATACTGGTTATGTGCTTAGAGCCACACGTAGATACTCAAAAAACACAAAAGGAGAACCAACATGCTCAAAGGAAAGTGGCAGACAAGGACCTTTTCTTCAGCTCCCGCATACTCTCCTACCCATTTTCTTGTTCAACACCGGAAATCTTGTTTTTAGGATTCCTGACTTAGAAAAGAAGCCTTCCTCCTGTAGAGGAGGTCTCACCTGGAGTTGTTGGTTGACTGACAGAAGAATAGGTTAAGATGGCCCAGGAATGAGATGCTGGGAGTCATGCCTAGGGTGGAGGGGCATATGTCTGAGTGTAAGTGTGGGGCAGGAATACCTTCAGCTCACAGGTCTCAGAGATACAGCCTCCTGAGGTCACATGGAATTCCGAGCAACTTCCCATGAGTAACACATAAAAGCAGGCTTTTTTTTTTTTTTTTTTTTTTTTTTTGAGACAGTATCTTGTCTGGAGTACGTGGCACAATTATAGTTCACTGCAGCCTTGAACTGTTGGGCTTAAGTGATCCTCCCACCTTGGCCTTCTGAAGTGCTGAGATGATAGGTGTGAGGGCTATGCCTGGCCAAAAAGCAGATTTTTTAAAATGTGTAATATGTTTTATTGCCATTTAAAAATTATTTCCAGCTGAATACAGTAAATACTAAAGTGTAAGGAAATGTAGAAATAGTAAACACTTAACTTCATTCCCTTTGACTTTCTCTCTCCCCTTCTCACCCTTTTCACCTCACTCCTTGCGTATTAACTGAACACTTGATGCATGGCAGCTTCCCCAAGAACCTTATTCAATGGTAGGGTCCTAGACACATGGCTGTAATGATTGCCAGACTATATACCAAATGCCTTAACCTAGGCTGTCCCTGGTTGGGGAGAAAGGGGGAATGTCATTCTCTTCTGGGCAAAGGCAAAAATTCAGGCCCAGAGAAGATCAATGCAGGGCCATATGTGGAATAGGGCAGAAGAGGCAGTAGTTTGTACCCAGGTCTCTAGCCTGTTGCCATGTCCTGTGTGCTGAAGGAGGACCACAAGCAGACCTCTGGTCATTGCTGTACCTTATTCACCAGCATCTTGGGTGGTAGCTGTGGCCCATAAAAGGCTTTGTGGGGATCTGTGAATATTCTCTCTTCCTGGAGGCCAGAGTTGAGACAGGGAGGGGTGGGAGAAGGCAGCATATGATTGAGGCTTGGGCTCACTCAGGTAGCTGTGAATGCTTGCACCATTCCGGGGTGTGAATGCACATAGATCTTCAGCTTTCAGGACCTCTCCAAGCAAGCCATAGGGGCCATGTGGTGAAGTGAATCTGTAGACCTACCTACCCTGTTTGCCTGAGGGGAAGGGAGAGGAGCCCATAGCTTCTCCTTCCTTTGCAGACACCATGGTTATTGCCCTCCAAGAAAAAGAAGGTGCTCAGCAGAACCTTTTCCCCATCTCCAAAGGACACTTGCTATCGTGTGAGTGAGTGTGGTCAGGAAGGCTTCCCATGACACTTGGGTTTTAATCTCTTCTCTCCTGCTTCTGTCATTAGGGAAATATAT